CACATTAATGCAATCAATTTGTCAAATTACTAATTTCCTTGTAATTTTATGATTTTGGAGTCAGTGGAAATGTATGTGTCACTGGAGGAAGGAAAAATAACCTTACAAATGAATACAGAGATGAATGAATAAAATTAAGCATAGTTGTAGTTTTGAGATGCCTAACAGATTTCAAGCTTACGATTGAAATTTTCTCCATCTCATGTTAACTGTTTTAAAAATATTTATTTAATTATTTCGAATGGAAGGCGTTTTGATAGTTATCATTAGCCCTTAAGTTGACTTCGGGCTTCACAGGGGGGAAGGAACATCAAAGTAACAGAAAGTCGAGGGGTGGGGAACAGAAGAGTGATTTACAGATGTAAAAGAGATAGACACAAAGGCAGAAAAAAGGTAAGATGATTACTGTGGAAGTGGAAGAATATGACATACAGTTGGATATTTTAGTTTGTATTCAGAAGTCAACTGCCGGTTAATAGACTTTTTTGCCGTATGAGTATATGTTGCCCAGGGTGCACCATGTGGAGGTAATTCTATCGCACACCCGTGTTAAAAATATATATATACATATATTTAACAAGTGAACTGACTAACATATTCCGAGTCTTTTGGCTCGCTTATTAATCAAACTGTTTGTTCGTCTGTATGACGTGTATCATTTTCCAAAATCCAAGAAACAATTAGACTAATAAGAATTCTTAGTTATTATCATCGTTATTTCCATTGAAAATGAGCACTGAGAGTTATAAATCTAGTCACAATTATTCTCGTAAATAATAAAAATTTATTATGCGGCCTAGTATGTCATTATATCTATGATTTAAAAGAATAATTATGACTTAATTTAAATATATAAAGATATGGAAAAGTAAAGCTAATTTGTCACTTTGAAATCAAATAGATTTAAGGGGGTCTCAATATATAATGTTAAATTAAAGTATTATGTTAAAGTTTTACTCAGAAAAGCGCCATTGGTGTCTAATGAGCTCTCAGCCCGGAACCGGGTAATGGAAAGTCCTGGGCAACTACGCTTTATAATTTCCTCAAAATTTGTGCATACAAAGGCTGAGAACTAATTTGCTCTTCCATTCCCGAAAAAACTCAGTTGACAAAAAAGTGATTTCTATTTTTCATATGGCATGCCGATTTTCATTGAAAAAAGGCTACTTAACGTGAGGCAATAAAGCAACATGTACATGCATGCATCGTTACTCTGCTATTGCGACAGCATTTCCTTTAAGGCAGTAGAATAGACGAACTTTAATAGGCCTTTGAAATTAAACAAAGACAGAAATCAATCTGGATAAAATTCAAGAAAACCCGAATCAATTTGTAACACTCATTATTTAGGCATAATAAGCAAGTTATGTAAGAAAAAATATAAATTTTGTGCTGTATTTTCTAAGCCCATGTTTCAATAATTATTAAGTGAAGAGAATATAGCCTTAATATTAAAAACATTTGCAATTAAATTTTACAGGAGAAAAAAATGACATAAGCTTTGGCTATACATCTTAATGAAATAAGTGTCCTTCAACCCACGCTATCATAGTATTATCGGCCCTCTTGAGAATAAAATATCATTTCTACTCTGATTCCAGAGTGGCTTCCACCTTCAATTATGCTAGTGCAACAAGATTTTTTTTCACTGGAAAAGCAAATGAAAATTATTTTTCCATCGACTCCACCCATGACTTTGTTGCTCACACTCACCTACTTGAACTCATCATTGTAAAACCGGGATATATAAAGACTGTCGTTTGTTTGCTCGAAACATTGAGTGCGTAAATCGTAAACAGAATGAATAGCCTCTATTTACTGATCCTGTTCTCACTTGCAGTCATTGGAAATAGTGATGTTCAAGGAGAATCCTCTGCTGATTCAACAGCTAGCGGAGAGACTGATCCTTCTGACGAAGGAGATTCCACTACGACTTCATCCGCCTCTATGACTTTCATGTCCAAATCACTTGTCATTCCACTGGCTGTCTTTTTAAAATTGTACTAATTACGATCAGTCCTCGCTTTAACAACTATGTAATTTCTTTCTCTGTTTTTAAATAAATGATCGTTGAATATTTCCTTGCATTTACTTTGAAATCTTCAGAATAATTCATTTGAATGGGAGTCGGTAAAAATGAATTTAAATCAAAGTGACAGAAATTTTGAGTGAATCACTCTGTGGTATATGCGCCAAACCATATTCCAATTTGTTCTGGTTACCGTCTGCGTTTCCAATACACTAATGGCTTGAATATTGAATTTTACTTTGGATTATCTCACAAAGGCATATTTGGCAATACAGTTTGAAAGTGTCAGAAATCTTCAGCTGCAATGACATTTAAACTCAAATAAATACTCATATCTTAGTTGTACCACTTAAACGCACTTATTTTAAACATTTATTGGCTACAGTTAACTTTGTCACTATACTAGTCTTAAGGTATTTTTGCAATGTATTACGTTCTTTAAACCAGCTGAAACCCACGGTTTGTCGACAGACCCAAATAATGTGGGTTTTAATTTTGTTGATTTTCAGTCATCTCTACATTCTCGAATTCTTGTCTTAAGTGAATGGAAACATTTTAGTCTTATTAAAAAAGTATGAGTTAATATTTACTAAACTTTGTAAGAAAGGAGTTAATCATTTTAAACTATGGAAATGCTCGCTATGGGAATGCTTTATAATATTGAAGTTAAAGTGGGCAAATTTAAAAACAGGGCCCATGAAAATATTTCGTGGTTTATAATATTCACAAAATAAAGGATGGTATGACCATAATCATGCAATACTTTTAACAACAACAAATAAGAGTGAAAATATTTTGTAAAGCCTTTATTTATTTATATCAAATGGCAGGCATTTTGATAATTATTTTTAGCCCTTTAGTTGACTTTGGGCTTCACAAAGGGGAGGAACATCAAAGTGAAAAAAAATCGAGAGGGGAGCCAAAGTGAGATGCAAAGATGTAAAAGAGACAGGCAGACAGGCACATAGGCAGAGAAAATGTAAGATGGGTACTGTGGAAGGGGTTGAATATGACATACAGTGGGGCCATTGTAGTTTGAGGTCAGAAGTCAACTGCCGGTTAATAGACATTTTTGCCGTAAAAGTATGCGTTGTCCAGGGTGCACCACGTGGAGGTAAGTCTATCGCACACTCCTGGAAAGGCCTTCATTTAAGGTCTGTAAAATTAAATTTGATGAAATGCTTTGAAGTATTTAAATAAAGAAAATTCTCCGAGACTTTAATGAGAACTAGGTTTGTTTGAATTAAAAATGTCAAGGTAATTCGAAATAAAGCATTTCTCTTTCAAGTCACTTAAAATCCTAAAAGCATGATGAATCATTAACACTAATTCGATCTAAAAAAGAATATCAGTTAATACTAATTTGTCTTCAATTTACTCTCTCTCTCTCTCGAGCATATGGTCATTGTCAGAATGAGACGTTTAATTTGAGGATGTGCGCAAATTCCACGTGAGATGCACATAACACCAAATTCTGAATAGCATGAAGCATAAAAGGGACTTATAAACAGGAATCAATATCATTTTCTTCATTTTTCGTTAATTTCAACAGGTTATAAAAGAATAAATATGCACTGAATTTAAGAAATTTCCGACGTTTGATGCGCCAAAATATTTAGTTTCATGACCGCCTTTAAGACTGAAATCATCAAAACAACAGCTGTTTGCTTATAGTACATTACTCATTTTATTATCATCGTCTTTGTTAAATTCATTTTAAAGAAACGCATTATTTATGGCAGAATATAGACCCATAGTTTGTTGAAATCGGTCAGTCTGCATGCCTTTGACACTTGCGGTGGACAGTTACCCTTATCATCTCAGCGATTTCTTTTTGATTCTCACGTTACAACTTTTAACTTTTTTTTGTAAGAAATCATCTCAAAACATCATTTTTCTCTAAGAATTACACAATTGCTTCTCTTTCGTTCTAACTTACGGGAAATATTGAATATCCCATTAGAAAGCTCTAGACATATTAGTAAGCTACTGTTCCGCTTGTAGTTTAATGATCTTGTAACATTTCTTTAATTTCAAATTTCAATTTCGAAGCAGTGTGCGCTTTGATGATTACGTTTATACATCGAAATGAAATAAGTGCCTTACAGCCCACGCTATCATAATATTACCGACCCTCTTGAGAAAAATCATCATTTCTACTCTTATTCCAGAGTGGCTTCCACCTTCAATTATGCTAGTGCAACAAGATTGTTTTTCACTGGAAAAGCGAATGAAAATTATTTTTCCATCGACTCCACCCATGACTTTGTTGCTCACACTCACCTACTTGAACTCATCATTGTAAAACCGGGATATATAAAGACTGTCGTTTGTTTGCTCGAAACATTGAGTGCGTAAATCGTAAACAGAATGAATAGCCTCTATTTACTGATCCTGTTCTCACTTGCAGTCATTGGAAATAGTGATGTTCAAGGAGAATCCTCTGCTGATTCAACAGCTAGCGGAGAGACTGATCCTTCTGACGAAGGAGATTCCACTACGACTTCATCCGCCTCTATGACTTTCATGTCCAAATCACTTGTCCTTCCACTGGCTGTCATTTTTAAAGTTTTCTAATTACGATCAGTCCTTGCTTTAACAACTATGTAATTCCTATCTCCGTTTTTAAATAGATTGTCAATAAAGATTTTCTTGCCTCTACTCTGAAATCTTCCTAATACTGAAGTGTACTGGGAGTTAGATAAAACAAATTTAATCTAAAGTGGCAGAAACTTGGAGAAAGTCTCGTTGTGCTACACACCAAACCATATTCCAATTTTTTCGGGTCACTGTCTGCGTTTTCAGTACACTATTGGCTTGAATATCGAATTGTGCTTTGCAATGTCGCTGTAAACAATTACCACATCAAGCCAGTTCATTTGTTAGATTAGGTACATTTAGCCATATTGTTGCATGCATCTTCAGCGTCAATTTTAATGACATCTAATCTCAAATAAAGACTCATTTATTAATTACTCCGCGTAAACGCGCTTATATTATATATGTAATGGTTTCAGTTACTACTTGTACTTCACTAGTCTTAAGATATCTCTGTGATGGGTTATGGTTTTAGAACTTACTGAAGCATATTTTCGACCCAAACTGAACCTTTCTTTCTAATATTCATTTTTCGCTTATAAAGTGCTATACACCGAAAATAAAATACCACCAGATTTCCAATCAGATGTTTTTTCGATCTGAGGTGCTTTCTTGAGTAATTCCTCAAGGTTTGATGATTGAAATATAGGTACTCAATTAATTGTCATAACTACAAGCCGAGTTTATGAATATGATGAGTGCTTCTTTCCCAGGACATTTACCTATGTCATATTAATCGAGACAAAAATTGTATCAATTGAACTAATTTTCCTCCACTTAATGTAAATCCTAGTCCTCAGGAATTTTTCAGCATTTTTCAAACCAAAGATATGTGGTATTTTAATTATCTCAATGGGGGTGTGCGATAGACTTACCTCCACGCGGTGCACCCTGGGCAACGTATACCCATACGGCAAAAAAGTCTATTAACCGGCATTTGACTTCTAACTTCAAACTACCACGACCCCACTGTATGTCATATTCGATCCCTACCAGGGTATTCATCTTACCTTTTTCCCTACCTTTGTCTCTGTCTGCCTCTTTTACATCTATGAATCGCTCTTCTGTTCCCCGCCCCTCGATTTTCTGCTACTTTGATGAACCTTCCCTCTGTGAAGCCTGAAGTCAGCTAAATGGTTAATGATAGCTATCAAAACGCATGCCATTTGAAATAAATAAATTATCTCAATGGAACGAGCAACATCCAGATTTGAAAAGCTGCTGCCATGTCAAATAAATGAAGCAAAGAAGAGAAAGACAATTAAAAAGTTTAGTTAAATAAATGGTATTTTGAGATCTTGATCAAAATTTTTATAAATGAGAGTTAAAATGCACTAAAATAGTACTATTTTTTAAGCCTTATAGAGACAGATAAGAAAATAACAAGGTGACCACAGAGAGGCATTAGATTTTATAATCAAATTATTTAATCAATTTTGACTAAATCGCTTAACACAAACTTGCGAGACCTATAGCGATCGCTTTAATATGTAACTACCGAGAAAAATTAGTCAAATAAACTGAAAGATTTCGATTTCTATGTATTGCCTAAACCGGAATGTGCTTAATTCCAGCTAATAATTTCACGCATGGTTCTCCTCTACGCACGTGGTTATTGGCACTCTGCTCTTGAAGGTGTACACTTGAAAGTTACCAATTTCAAAATACTAGTTTTTTCGTCTTTATTTGAGTAAAGGTGTACATAATTCAGCTCGGCTTGAGTAGACAAAAAATATAACCTTAAAGTAATGAGGCCTCGTCGTGACTTCCTTTCGGGCATTAGTTCGATAAAATCTCGAAACCTTTCCCGGCAGATCAAAATTAAAATGCCGTTTGATTTAGCTATTTACTTTACTATGCGCATAACCACAAAATATTCAACGATGGGGACCAAACTTGTTAAATTTACATTATATTTTATACATTGTTCAGGATGGATGCAAAAGATGAGAATAAATTCACTCTAAGTAAAGCACAGAATATGAGAAAAACAGGTTTAACACAGAAGGGTTATTTCGTGGTTAGCAGTGTAAGCTATGTTACTGGAGAATAGATTGTGTCATCATATCCGCGCGTGCATAATACCCTGAACGCACTTTTGAGAAGTACTTGAAAATATACTCTAAATTCGTTGCCGATATGAGAAAGTTTATATGAACGATAGTGGGGGTTGGTAGGGATGTGGGGAGGGAGGACAAATAGCCATAAACTGCATTAAAGGTTGGTCCCCATATTCTGCGTAGCAGTCCTAAGGAAGCAAATTATATAAAAAAACAAAGGGGGTTAGATTATTAGGATACTGTGTGCGCGAGACAGGAAGTGGGATCTGGTTCTAACATTTAATCGTCTCTTACAAATCGGCCATTGGTAAAAATACTGTTCTCCAAGAGAAAACATTTTCGAAATAAGATACGTCATCTTAATTATTTCCTCTTCAGTAAAAGTGAGTCGTAGTTGGATTCCGATCATTACGGGTGTGTGTGTTCTTCTTACATTAAACGAATTAGAGCTCATTTGTGAAATTTCTTCTATATAATTAGTTGAGAATTCAAGAAACCTGGGTGTGGGAACATCTGTTGTCTTATAAACTATTTTTTAACAAATAATAAACTTTTTCAGTGGTCTGAAGGTATGTAAGACTTAGAAACTAGGGTTCCAGAAATATCCTTGCTTTTCAAGAATGCTAACCTTCAATTTTACCTTCCACTATAATTGGCAAGTGAGATGGTAAAAAAGCATTTCCATTTGTCTGAATATTATTTAAAATATGAAAATTAACCGGTTGACCTTGATTTCGTTAATTCCAATTAAAATAACATATTTTAGCTTCTTGGCAGTTAGATATAGTGCTATAGAAATTACAAAGTGGTAAATTTTGTATGCCAAAATAATTATGAAAGTTTTAGAAACCTGATTTATCTTCAACGATTTGTGCACCTTATTAATCATGCAATGTTGGCTGAAATGTTTTTAGACATTGCCGAATCGTGGTTATTAATAACTCTCATGCTTAATATATTGAACGGAATATATGCACTTTAATTTAGGAAACCTTCCAAATAACTACAAATTTAGAACTGCATAATATAAATGTAAGAATGCAAAGTTATTTTCTTACTTTCTTCAAAACATCTTCAGTAGGGACTCTTTGTTTTAGCGTATTTTAAAAATAATTAATAACGGAATCAATACAGATAATAAGTGGTCAATTTCATTCATTTTTTCACGTTCCGCTGAAAATACTCAACACCTCTTTGCAAAAGTATCCTAGAATTACTTTAGGGAGCATGATCCGCAGGGAATTTTTTAGGAAATTTCTTGGAATATTCAAAACAAAGTTTAGAACTGATTGTTGAAATGAATTTCAAGAGTTCTATTATTTTCAAATTGAGTGAAGTCAAAAGCATTCAAAATACTATCCAAAGATAACCCGTTTTTAGAAAGTCTCAATGACTCGCACAATTTGGTCATTAGCATGAGCTTCACATAGCCCATGCATCGCCTTCTTCTGAGGATGCATCCTATCCATGCACTTTTTCTGTTTCAAGAGTCTTCTAACAACATGAAGATGAACTGAGGAGAAGATGGAAGGAAAGCGTTGCGTATGGCCCTGAGTGTGAGGCAAATCCGTTTCAGTCAAGATTTAGGACAGAACAATGTTTCACAGATGTAAAGAAGGCAGACAGACAGACACAAAGGCAGAGAAACTGTGAGATGAGTACTGTGAAAAGGGATCGAATATGGCATGCGATGGGGTCATGGTAGTTTGAAGTCAGAATTCAACTGCCGGTTAATAGACTTTTATGCCGTATGAGTATATGTTGCCCAGGATGCACCACGTGGAGGTAAGTCTATTACCCACCCCTTTTAACTAAAAATTATTTATTTATTTCAAATGGCAGGCTTTGTGATATTTATCATTAGCCCTTAATCTTTGACTTCAGCTTCCTCCAAGGGTGGGGGGTACATTTATAGCCGTTAATTAATAGCAGTTAATTAGCCGTCTTCTTGCTTCCCAGTATCTCTGGCTTCCAGTTGTTGTCTTTAGAGCTGGACACCGAATCAGGTGGGTCTTCTCCATTTCCTCCTGTTGGTTACATAGGGGGCATATGGGTTGGGTGTGTACTCTCAATCTGTGAAGGTGTTTTGCCAAACAATCGTGTCCGGTACGCGGTCTAAACTCAGCAACGGCTTCGATTCTTGGCCAGTCGACTATATCGGAGAGTGCCACTGTCCACTGTTTCTCCTTTGTTCGAGCTTTAATTTCGTTGCACCTTGAGGTCTGGAAGTCTCTTCTGATTAGGGCCTTCATTGTGTGGAAAGACATCGGCCGGTCCATGCATTGCAAAATCGTTGTCCCCTTCTTAGCAAGTGTGTCAGCAAGCTCATTGCCTTTAATGCCACAGGGACTAGGACTCCATTGTAGGACCACTGTTCCGTTTTTTTCTCTCAGCACCTCATAGATTTTTCTACATTCCTTTATCTCAGCTGTTTTGGGTAACTCTCTGTTTCCAATTGAGTTTATTACTGACTGTGAGTCCGAAAGTATCACCGCTTTGGTGAATTTCGTATCCAGGCAACATAATTAACATAGTACTATCCTAATAGCCTCTATTTCTCCTTCAAAAGCGGATCTATTATGTCCCGCTGCTACGTGGAAAGAGAAGAGTTCAGAATATACACCTGTACCAACGTTTGCTTGGCTTTCTATGTATGACCCATCAGTGAAGACTTGGAGCCATTGATCTGCAGGATAGTTGACATTGATTGTCTCAAGGGCCAGTGAGCGCATTTGCTCTGGAGGAGTGTATGATATCCTGAAGAAGTCGAGCAGTTGGGTGCAACACACAACATCAGTATCTTCTAATGGGTTCATGGGTAGAGGAAGGCCTTTTGGTTTTTCATCGATTTGTAATTCTTTCTTCAGTTCTNAAAAGGGCGTTTCAAAGATGTAAATGAGACAGACGCAAATGTAGAAAAAAGGTGAGGTGAGCACTGCGTAAAATGATCGAATATGACATGGAGTCAGGTCATGATATTTTGAAGTCAGAAGTCAACAGCCAGTTAACAGACCTTTTTGCCGTGGAGGTAGGTCTATTACGCACCCCGCAATACAACATTATTGGCTGAATAAACATCTTGTAAGTGGTGTTGAGAGTTGAGCGTGCACAGCCCCATACACTACCAGCAAGACGCTTCAGTACATTCAGTCTATTGGAGACTCGTTCTGCTATTTTAGCAATGTGACTTTTCCACGTTAGCCTTGTGTCAAACGTCATTCCGAGATATGTGAACTCATTGGTTCTTTCTATGGTAGTATCCTTGTACCTTAGTAGCGGGTTTATGCTGTGACGGGCCAAAGAAAATGTTTGGAATGCAGTTTTTGCGGTGTTGATAACCATTCCATTATTGTCGCACCAGTTTGCTAGTAGTTTAAGTGCACAATTTAGGGCACTTTCTGTCCTCTCCTGAGCGTTTTTCTTAGGAGCGGAATACCATAGATCTTTACCTAAATATAAAATGCATGAAATTATTATTTCAAATATCGAGCTTTATGATATTTATCATTAGTTCTTAGTTGACTTCAAAAATTTGAAGTCAAATGCTTAACGATAAAGAAAAATCAGGCTGATATATTCCTATTCTTTGTTTAACATCTGAAGAACACCATCAACATCACTCTCACTCGGAATTAAGACTGATTTTATTTGGTGTGTCAAAAAAGCTGATCAAAGGGAGTTGGAGTTTGTTACAATAGCTATTGCGTAAAAGCACTTAATTCCAAAGTGTGCGCCTTCTTGATATTTATTACCTATTTAATAGCAAAAATATAGATTCAGAATGTACATCATTGTAAAAGTGAAAGAACGCTTGAAAGGGGGAAATTATCCGAGCAAATTCGGCTATTTTTATGCTGTGAAAGTAAACTTCACATCCCGAATAGCACGTTACTGCTATGATTGACACTCTTTGAAAAAAAAATCATTAAGTGCAAAATTCCAAAAATATATATGTATTTATATATTTAAATTTTTCGACGATTGCAAACAAACGTTGATAAATACATCAAAGACTTCATTATTATTTGTGCGTTTGAATCACAAGATGTTAATTACAGGCTTGTGAAGTAGTTGACTGTCGAAGTCTCTAATTTAATAAATCTGATGAATTTGTTCATTTTACTCGGTTCAGTCGCGTGCTAGTTACAGAAACCGGTCAACTTGTTCGGGCTGCTATTTCTGTTGAAATGTATACGGAGATGTTTGACGACTTGGTTACAAACAGGTTTATTCTACTTAGCAGAAATCAGTACGCATTGCTTAAAACTGATACCACAATTATTTCCTATTCGCATATGATCTATTGTTCTTGAGGTTGCGCATTCACGCACAACTGTAGTGCCAATCAATATGTAATTACTAAGGCCAAGTTAAGTGCTCAATTTTTAATTTAAGCCCTAATCCATCGAACATTTATTCGAGTCTTAAATTGTTTCCCCTTTATTCACATCAGAACAGCTAGTAAAACTTTATTTAAATATCTGAAAATTCACCATTGATTAAGGAGTCTGGATAATGAGTTAATTTGTTAGTCATGTATAACAAAAAAATAAATGTAAGCAATAATTTATTCAATTTATAACTCGGAGTTAAACTATGGTTCTTTAGCTACTCAAATGAGAGATATGCTTTATTTGCGAGTTTAAATCTGCTATACAAATAATCCGCTCAATCTCTTTAGTTAAGTATTTCTCAATAAATATAACTACTTTCAAAAGAAAGAATGCAAATTTCGGTTAATATATAATGCTGGCGAATGAACAGTCATAATTTTGGGCTTAAGGTCGAATCTAATCCTATTATAGCTAGAAGTTAATTTTGATACTTGTTTAATCGTACACTTAATGTCCTATTACTCCATTTAATAAAGTTAGAAAAATTTCGAAACATTAATAGGGAATGTCTGTCGCTGAAATGAGAAGCCATACATTTCCGTTAAAAATTTAAAACTACTTGCGTCTTTTAAGTACGTCGGGACGTTTGTTTTTCACAACAGCCGTTATTTGTGACAATAAATTGCAGCACATGCCTGATGTGCTCATTTTCGGCTAATAATTCTTTTCTTTTGCTCCCCTGTTCATGATTAACTTGACTATTAACTACATTTCAATTTTTTTCTAAACTCTTCATTTTGATAATTCAGTTGTTTATTCCGTTAACTAACGTGTTCAAATTTTGTTATGTATGTATCAAAAGGTGGTATCTATATCTCATGAAGGCTGAAGTGTGTACCTTCTTTATTGTCCCATTAGACATCACTTCATCTTATAAGTCTCCGAATAGAGATTATTTGCCGAAATTGATAAGAAGATATGTAATTTGTAATTTAAAATAAAAAGAAAATGTATTTAAACAAAAATGGCAGTTTTTAACATTAACGATACGGGGTGTGCGATAGACTTACCTCCACTTGGGGCACCCTGGGCAACGTATACTCATAGGGCAAAAAAGTCTTTTAACTGGCAGTTGACTTCTGACTTCAAACTACCATCACCCCACTGTATGTCAGATTCGACTACTTCCACAGTACTCACCTCACCTTTTTAGTACCTTTGTGTCTCTCTCTTTACCGTCATTGAATCACTCTACCGCCCCCCCACCACCCCTCTCAATTTTTTTCCTCTTTGATTTTCCTTCCGAGCTGTGAAACCTGAAGTCAACTAAAGGGTTAATGATAACTATCAAATGCCTGCCATTTGATATAAATAAATACATTACCGATACTAAAAACATTCTTCAGGCACGGTGACGAAACTTATTAAAAAATAACTTCTTTAATAGCTTTGATTTTTTGTATTTTCCATACCTTAAAACAGTAATGCGTCTCTGCATAGTTCATATAAATTTCAGCAACATTAAATAAGACACAGAACCACTCTATAACAGCAATACTGAACTCTAAATAAAACAGAAAAGAACCATGATCTTATTTTAAATATATTACTAACAATGCAATAATATATTTTTTGTCAAATGTGCCTTAAGTTAACTTCGATCAATATAAGAATCCTTACTACTAATGGTAATGACCATATCATCAATCGAAAATTTTAAATACAAAGTAAATGAATGTCAAATGTGTTTAGTAATTCAATAAAAGTTGTTATTCAAATTGAAAGTTTAAGCAAAATGAATACATGGTCTTGTGGAATGCACAAAACTACAGAGAAATCTCTTGCACACCCAGACGGACTCAAAGGTGCGGTTGTGAGCACACCTAACCACCAATTAGTAGGCGGTGTATTGGTCAAAAGACGGATAGATAAAACTCAACTAGACGTGCTCCATGGCCTAAGTTTGTTTCCTCTATATCATTGAGATAGGTTAACTCACTTCGAAATCCTTTCCACACCAGGTTATCCTGTCATTAAGATTAC